GTGTATCACTAATTATTAAACACTAGATGTCTTAGGAAATAAACTTTTGCTGCAAATTTGGCGGTGTTCCGTGATGAAGATGGATCTAAAATTTCAAAGCAAAACTGTTCTTATCTGCAAAGTTTTTACTGTGGTAAATCCATATTAATGATGACCAGTACTTTTTGCATCACATAATGGCCAATTATTTTGTACGCTTCCTGAACTAATAAAAAGTTAAAACATGAAATGAAATCTCATGAAATTTCCATTTCTATATGAATTTACCACAGATACGTTGTTTGAGTGCATCCTGCAGGCTCAACAGTTTTATTGGATATTGACAAAATCAGATTAAATTCTCGTACTTCAAAATCCTACTCACTGTTCAGTTGAAGAGTTTCCAGATTAACCTTGAATCAGAAGTAATTTGTGATATATGAGTATTTACTTGATAAAAGGCAACTTACAAGAAAATAATAGACCTGTACTACCAAAGAAATACTCAATTGTTGTTATATTTCAATTTTGTTTACAAAAGTTTTTCAAAATTTTTTTCTTTTTTTTACATAAATTTCTACATAAATCTTCCTTTTTTTTTCTCATCCTGCAGTGCCTAAATTATTCGCTGCCTGTCCCTTTTAAATAAAATTGTCACCAACCCCTGCATTAAAGCATGAATGTGACAGTGTTACTCATTTAATCAAAATTGTTAAAGGAATTGCCAGTTACCCATACTTTTCAGAGTCCTTGACATGGACTGGAGATACTTAGGAAAGAAAAGGAAGTAGGAGAAAGTTGTGTACAACACGGATCGATTTTATACCCCATTCAACACTCGTTGTAGAATTTCATGGTGAAATAAATATGATTATTTAGGGAAAGAGGCAATAACTAATGTCCTTGTTTTCAGCAACAGTTCATGTGGAAATTACCATAACAGGAAATTCTATTTAGTTGATTTTTTTCACAATTTTGGGTGACTACTTTTATGGTAGTAATAATATTACTGTATATTAGATATAACTTTATTTGAATGTGGTGTTAAATCCATTGTCTTCTATCTCAAAATAGTTTTCTTTTAGCTGTAATTAGGTGTTAATAATGACATTCTCCGTTTCTTGAATGTTGTTGTAGAAAAAGTCTGGCACTTCAGATGCATTTGTTACACAGATGTTTATGGAGCCTTTGGCAGGTGACTCAATATTCTAGGTACAATGAGGGAAATGAGAGAGCTCTTGTCCTACGGTCTTGCATTCTTGCCCTCAGTATAATTTTGATAAATAAAAATAGTTACCATATTCTTTAAAAGGAGAATTTACACTGCTAATACAAAATAAAACACAACTTTGTCCTAAAAGGGATCTATTATCTGAGTATAATTGGCACTAAACTTAAAACCATAAATTATATTTAAAACAGGAACCATTTACCATAAATAAAGGAATTATTCAGTTGATAATTTTCAGAAGTAAAATTAGAAGTATACATAAATTATATACAAATTAGAAGTATACATGCATATCCACTCAACTAAAACTTATTGAAATATACCTCAAACCTTAAAAAAATAAATCAAGGGTTAATTTTGGTATGTTCATCTTAATTTTTCTAACAACATTGTATGTTAGCGTGAACTTTCTTTTATCTCTTATTCAACTTTTCAGAATGATCATAATTTCTGAAATGAAGTGTATCTGTATGACTTTGGTAAACATGTATGAACTTACATAAATGTGGCTTCATCAAGTTTCGTCAGCATTTGCCCTAACTTTTGATATTGCAGTCATTTTCTCCTGAAACATCTTCGGTGTCATCATACTTGGTGATTTTCTGGTTAACTGCTCCAGCTTTTCCAGAGCCATATTTGCCAGCGGCCTTGTCTGAGATTTGAGAAGGTCTCCAAGAATACTTTCCAGGGTTTCATTAAATCTAGCATTTCATATAGTTTGAATTTTCACTTTATAATTGATGTGCAGTCTATCATATTATTATTTTGATTAATTAAGTCAAACCAGTCAAGTATGACATGGATTCAATGAGGCAGAAATGAATGCTAATGACAATCCAGGAAGGCTATTTAAGTGGTCACTAGTTATGTAACTTGTATATTTGTGAATTTTTGTTTGTTTGTTTTCACTTCCTTACCCAAAACTCCTAGCACTGAAGATTGAATGATAAATACTTAACAAAGAGGGTCCCTTTTAGTTTTGAAAATATATGCAACTCTGATCCTGTAAATTCAAAACAAATCAAGAGAATGAAGTGAATTTTCTTCCAGGAACAAAGTAACTTAGTGGTGTGAATGATCCCTAATTACTGAGCTATCTAGAGTTTGCATATACTAATAGAAGTCAGAGAGAAACTGAAAGCCAGGTCTTGGGTTCCAAGATTAGAACCTTGAGGCAGAGGTAGGGAACAATCTGCAAACTGCAGTATTAAAGCAAAACCAATCCCCCTAAACCTCAAAAGAACTGGAGCTCCAGCCTCAATCCTTTACCAATTGCAGTTAAGGATGCCAATCAACAACTTGGCTTGGCAGCAAAACCACAAAATGTGGCACCTTCTAATGAAATAATGATAATGAGCCAGCCAGACACTAGATAGCTACATAGCTGAGAATAGTCTTTCAATTTTCTTTCATAAAGACTTGTATTGATACTGTGTCTTGAATATAAATAAACATAATATAGTTTAAAGTGAGTGCGTCCAGAACCAGAACTCCCATTATTTCGAGATGCTTTGTTAAAATCAGAACTTTCCAAACAAACTAGAAGCTGTTCATGATTGGCTTGAGTAATTCCTGTCTGCAAGTGTGACATCCCCCTTCAGCTTGTCATGTTGGTACCATGTTTTTATAAATAGAGAACAAATGGAAGCTAACTCCTGCTAGAAAAATCAAAGTTTTGAAAGGCCATGGCAGAAGTAGAAATATGTTTCTCCTAGATGTCAGAGTTCTTGTGTGTTAGTCCTGTTTCTGCTCTAATTAAGTTCCAAGCGAAGCTATTTCCCTCTCATGGGACAGCTTCCTCCTGGCTGAACAGACAAAAGGCCTCTTCTCCCTAGGGGTGGAGGGTGGAGGGTGGAAGGAGCTGGGTCTTTACCTCAAAGAGAACAGGAAGGATAAAATAACATTCCTTATTCTGATTCACTAAATGAACACAATTATCTGAAAAGATACATGTGTTTAGGCAAAATCCTATTAAAACACTTTCAAATTATAGAATCATTACAGTTTTTAAGCAAAAGGTTTGGTTATGTGTTTTGTAATATTTTATTCAAGGATTTTATATTTAATACTATACATTTAATAATTATAGCAAATACTTAATGAAATGTAACAACTCAAAGTGAACATTGAGCATATAATGAAAACTTAACAAACTAAGAATAAATGGCATAAAGTATCTTTTCAACCCAAATGTCTAAATTAAATATTTTAAAGTATTTTACAAAATATTTTTAGGTAAAAACTTACAAAATGTTGTCAAAAATCAAACCTACCATATATGTGTGTGTGTATATATATATGTATGGAACAAAGGTTTGGGCATGTGAATGTTCTATGCAAATAAATACACAAGATTTTCAAATAATTCATGGAGAATGTGTATTATGAAAAAACTATATAAGGACTTCAAAAATTTTTGCACCAAAGTAAAATATTTTAATTCCACTTTTCCATAATCATGTTGCAGTCACCTCATAGAAGCAACACATCAACAGTATTCAAAATGTCTGATTTTTCTTTGCTATTGTTTGCAGTAATCACTTACTGTATTTCTAAAGCAAATGTCAATGTAATGTGTCTGTTTTTGAATACTAAACGATCTGGTGGAAAACAATATTGATCTGAAATGAAAAAAAATCCAGTCAAATCCTTATTGAGCCACTTAAAAGTCATTGAACTACAAACACATCGTTGGATTCCTTCAGTCTTCTGTTCCCTTTTTTCTGAATCTGTTTTGAACTCTTAAGTCATTAACATCACACACTAAGCTTTAAAAAACAAAATCTGAATTAGTCTAAAATATCTTTTAATGAATGCCACAAATGAAAAATGTTTATAATTACCATTATTTCATGCTACCACAGAGAAGCTTCTACAACATGTGGAAGATAGATTTAAGAGTAGATTTCTGATGTGGGCAATTGGTATAGTAAACACTTTGCTGATTAGGAATGCCTGCCTCAATAGGAATGCCCACCTGGATATCACAGAGCTTGGGTTCAAGTTCCTACCCCTCTGCTAATTCCAGCTTCCTTTTTTTTTTTTTTTTATTTGACAGATAGAGTTAGTGAGAGAGAGAAAGAGAGACAGAGAGAAAGGTCTTCCTTCCATTGGTTCACTCCCAAATGGCCACTACGGCCGGAACTACGCCAGTCCGAAGCCAGGGGCCAGGTGCTTCCTCCTGGTCTCCCATGTGGGTGCAGGGCCCAAGCACTTGGGCCATCCTCCACTGCCTTCCCGGGCCACAGCAGAGAGCTGGACTGGAAGAGGAGCAAGTGGGACTAGAACCTGGCGCCCAAATGGGATTCCAGCGCTGCAGGTGGATGATTAACCAAGTGAGCACCGGCCCTCCAGCTTCCTTCTAATGCACACACTGGAAGGTGGCAGGTGATGGCTCAAAATGGGTGGGTTGCTGCTACCTAAGTGGGAGACCTGGATATAGATAGATACACACACACACACATACACACACATGCATGTATCTTTCTCTGTCTCTCTACCTTTCAAAATAAATAAATACCATTTTCAAAAGACTGGATTTTCCAAAAAACACACATTCAAAGATTTTCTTCTTTCTCTTTGTAGTGAGAAGTGATTGCCACCCCTTGGCCACTCAAGTAGCATCATACTGCTCTTCTGTCTTTCTGAGAGCAGATGTACTTGATTAAGGATATCAGCAGCTCCTCACACAAGAATGCAGGAATTAATTCAACAGTAATTTATGGAGTGTTCACATCCACAGTGCTAGGACAAAGATTACAGGCATCTAATTTTCTCATTGTTTTTCTAGGACCTACGGATCTCAGCATGAAGAGGCAGTTGGCAACCAGCTCAGGATCCTCCAACAGTTCAAGCTCCAGACCCCAGCTGAGTCCCACTGAGATCAACGCCGTGAGACAGCTTGTGGCAGGCTATCGAGAATCAGCTGCATTTTTACTGCGCTCTGCAGATGAACTGGAAAATCTCATTTTACAACAGAACTGAGTCCAATGATGACCATATTCACTGAGGTCTAGATTTGCAGTTTCCACTAATGACATTTTGATTTCTCAGCAGAGATACGTCTGATCTTACTGCACAATCTTTTAAGAGAAATACTTCCATTATGCCACATTGTCCTTGATCCATAAAGTGATGTGTTAAGGTGCTTCAAAGGAACTCTGACCTCTGAAGTACTTGAGGTACTGTAATGTGTCCAGCCTATTGCTTTTTGTCTTAGTGTGTCAGCATAAATATCAAGAGCAAGAAAGGCTGTATATTCTTAATTCAAGGATAAAACAGAAGAAGCTTGTGGTATAAAAACATAGTTCAAGATCCAACTGAAATATTAGTGGATTTTGCTACTGACTCATTGAACTGAAAGCTGAAGTTTCTGGCAAAAAAAAAAAAAAAAAAGCCAAATTTCTTGTTGCTACAGGATATAACAACAATGAAAAGGATCTTGTATTTTAAAAAAAATGTAATTTTTATAAAAAGAAAACTTGTTTTTCATTCAAAATTGTCATTTTTACTTTGGTAACTTTTTCATAGGTCCTAAAAGAAAACTGTTTTGAGAAAACTACTGTAAGTACCTTTTCCACATCCCTTTGCCTTCTCCTCTTTCCAAATTCTTTCTACACAAATAACACTTGATGCTGGAAAACCCCTTGCCTGCGTTCTTTAAATCATCATATCAGGAACTGCTTCCAAGTGAAGCCTACATTTCTGCTCTCATGTTGATCTCAGAAACCCTACTCTACACTGCAGCTTCCCTTTGCCAGTTTCTATCACAGATACTTTTAATGTTAAAAATACATATTGAAAAAAAAATCACACATTGGTTTCTTAGAGCTGCTCACTCCTGATTGCCACTGCTGTCTTACAGGTAACCCTCTAGCAGCAATTGGATGTAGGTGACTGAATGTTAAGAGGTTGCAAGTGACAATCTGAAAATTTGCACTCCTATGTGTACTTTTCTTTTCATTTTTCTCTTTCCAAAATAGTTTCCAAAAAGACTATTATGTCTCCTGATATGATTTGTATAATTTACAGTTCTAGCTAAAAATAATGTAAAGAACTCTCAGTGGATGCAGCTGCAACTCACAATGAACTGTTCCTTCCTATTCCCCACACTTCGCCCCTCTTTCTTATTTTATAGTGTTGGATACACGAGTGGTGTTTTCTTTGTGCACTGAGGCAAGCCTGTTTTTAAATTATTTAGGAAAAAGTGCTTTAGTTCATGCTTCTTGTAGAATTATTTTTCTGTTGTTTAGTTTTGGTTGGATTACAGGTTCCTTGTGCATTCCTGAATTTGCCTTATTTCATGTAAAATTTCTGTCATTCGGTTTTCGACAATGAGTTGAAGGCATCAGTGATATTTCTTATCTACTTGTTACATATAGTTTTTCAAGTAATGACTGTGATTGTGACCAAGTAATGTGCACTTTTTCTTGTAACTGTGGACATTGCTATGCTTTTTTTCTTCTAGTGTTTCTAGAATTACTGTTCCTTACAGTTACGTAAACAAAAAACAAAAACAAACAAAAAAAGAAAACTTTTGTGATACTGTTGGTGAATATAATGTGAAAATCTTATTGAAATATGAGTATTTTGGAAATACATAGATGCACAAACACCTTTTAAGGTGTGGATTTAGAGTTTGCTTATTTAAATGAAAATTCAAAAATTGAGGGCTGGTATAATTTTCTCTGTTTTGTTTGGTTTAATAAACAGATTTCTGTGTTAAAACAATGATTGTGAAACCTTAAAAACTTTCTGAATGATTTAATGCTTAATTGTGAGCCATCTGCTTTTAAAATATGAAATACTATTTTGTACCTATATTTAGCACAAATGGACATGCCAAACTTAAGTCTCAAGAATATCCAAAAGTCTGCAGGGTCTCAAGATTGTCTAATAAAGACTTTAATCTAACAACGGACAAAGGAAATTAGTAAGCCAAGGTTACTTTCTTTGATTATTTAAATCTGACTTAAGAATATATTTGTCACCTTTTATTCTTGTTTATGTTTGTTTGTTTTGTATTGTATTGTTTTATTTTGTTTTCAGGAGTAAGCTGGTTCTTTTAGTTCCTCTTGATTTTTTTTGGGAGAAGCATATCCCTATCTTAAGTGCCTTCTTCCTCCCTCCCTCCCTCCCTCCCTCGCCCTCCCTCCCTCCCTCCCTCCCTCTTCCTTCCTTCCTTCCTTCCTTCCTTCCTTCCTTCCTTCCTTCCTTCCTTCCTTTCTTTCTCCCTCTTTCTTTCTTTCTCCCTCTTTCTTTCTTTCTTTCTTTCTTTCTTTCTTTCTTTCTTTCTTTCTTTCTTTCTTTCTTTGTAATACTGTGTTTGAATGCTTTGACATGGTTTCTGTTTCACAAATTAGCATTCAGGCTTGAGTTTAGTTAGCATACAAGTCAAAAATCCTTGATAACGACGTTAAAGCAAAGGTAGTAAACAAGGTAAGCTGCATCCAGCTGCTCGTGTTTTCATTGTGTTCTGATTTTCCAATGTAACTACCATGCCTCCTCACCCAGGACTAAGTTCCTCAATGTCCTCTGCTTTTTGTGTGTTTGTGCCAAAGAAGGAGGACACTGGGACTACCATAATTTCCCTGAGAGACTGCAGAGGCTAAAATGAAGTACCCTTTTGTTTTTCTTTTCCTTTGTGACTTGCACCTGGTCCTTTTTTTTTGTTTGTTTCTCTCAGTAGAATGAAGAGATCACATTTCCTTATAAAGCATTTTCTAGAAACTGAAGGAAAGTTCATACTCATTCAAATGAGATGATAGGAAAGTGTCATAAATACAGATATGAAGTAGAAGTTCTGTCACTTCTGCCAGTTAGCTCTTCATATGCCACCAGTTTCTCATCATATGTGTGTTACTTTATCACTCTTAGTAAGAAAATTCGCCTTCAGATAACCAGAAAGTATACAAGCACAGGCAGTCACTGAATCTTACATGCAGAGTTCCAGAAACGGTACTTGATAAAAAAGGGCATTCAGATATAAACATAGCCACCATTTGCTAATTATTTACCCAAGCAAAGGCATTTTGTTTCCTTCACTTCTCACACTAACTTTGGGAGATTGACTCAGTCACTCTCCATTTTACAAAGTAGGTTCAAAAAGGGTGGTCATTTGCCGAGAACTCCAAGAAAGTACATGCAGAAGCCATCATGTGACCCACATGTACCTGGTGCCAGAGCCCACGGATCAGCTGCTGTTGGCTGCTGCTTCCCAAGTACTAAATAGTTACATATGCACTGTGTCTTGGAACTAGTTTTTTTTGTTTGTTTGTTTTTTGTTTTTTTTTTTTTTAATTTATTTGACAGGTAGAGTTTACAGACAGTGAGAGAGAAGGACAGAGAGAAAGGTCTTCCCTCTGTTGGTTCTCTCTCCAAATGGCTGCAACAGCCGGAGCTACGCTGATCCAAAGCCAGGAGCCAGGAGTTTCTTCCTGGTCTCCCATGTAGGTGCAAGGGCCAAAGGACTTGGGCCATCCTCCACTGCACTCCCGGGCCACAGCAGAGAGCTGGACTGGGAAGAGGAGCAGCCGGGATTAGAACCCGCCGCCCATATGGGATGCCGGTGCCGCAGGCGGGGTGCCGCAGGCGGAGGATTAACCTAGTGTGCCACGGCACTGGCCCCGGAACTAGGTTTTTATACTGAATTTTAGCAGCTTTGTATAGGTCAATAATAATTTATTTAAAATGCACTTGACATCAGATAAAGTATTTGAGTAAACACAGATTTATCCTGCTACAGAGGCCTAATTTATTTTAGATTACAATCTCTACAAATATAAAGAGCTACTATAAAACTGACCTCTAATGAAAATCAAATGCATATAGCATGAAGGGGGAGGGGATGTTGCCTGTGTAGAATCCTGTAAGGAAAGGTAAACAGGATGATCCAGTTACACACACAAAGGGAAACTCGTCCACCTGGGGTTTTAGCCCTAGAAACCACACAGGTACCTCCAGCTATTGTCATGAATTCTGACACTAGGAACACACATAACATGCAACCATTAAGGTTCATGTAACAAAGCTATCATCTGATTTCATGTGACCCAGGTTTTAAGATGTAGTCCATAGGAAAAAAATCCAAAAATAAGCAAAGTAAAATAACATACTGTTTATCTTGTAAAGCATGTTTGGAATGCAGAAATTTGGCAAAGGATTGAGCACAAGCTAACTTACTGATACTTTATTAATAAGTTCTTCCCTAGAATTTTTTGAAAAGACATAAAATGCCATGAATAGAGTCACCACCAAGCTCCAGCCTTAATACAGAAAAAGAAAGAAGTGGGGGAAATGACCCCATAGCAAACCATGAATAACATTTTATAGTACCTCCTTCATATTTTAGCCAAAATGCTTATAAATATTTTTTCTATTTGATTTTACTGCCTATGGTGTTTCCTCTTAGCTTTTTTTTTTTTTTAAGATTTTTATTTATTTATTTGACAGATAGAGTTACAGACAGTGAGAGAGAGAGACAGAGAGAAAGGTCTTCCTTCCATTGGTTCACTCCCCAAATGGCTGCAATGGCTGGAGTTATGCCGATCCGAAGCCAGGAGCCAGGTGCCTCCTTCTGGTCTCCCATATGGGTGCAGGGGCCCAAGCACTTGGGCCATCCTCCACTGTCTTCCTGGGCCACAGCAGAGAGCTGAACTGGAAGAGGAGCAACCAGGACTACGACCAACACCCATAGGGGATGCTGGTGCTGCAGGCGGAGGATTAACCTAGTGTACCATGGCACCAGCCCCTCCTCATAGCTTTTCTAACTTAACAATATGACATAAATATTTTCCCCATCAGTAGATATGTTTTAAAACTATTTTTAGTGACTATAAAGTATTGCATTGTATGAATGTACTTGCATTAGTTTTCTATTGCTGTTATAACCACAAACAACACACATTTACTACAGACATATAGGTAGAAGTTTCACTGGACTAAAACCAAGGTGTGTGTTCCTCTCTGATGGCTCTAGGGAAAGACAGTTTCTTTAGCTAGTCTAGCTCCCAGAGGCCACCTGCACTCCTTGCCTGGTGTCCCGTTCCTCTGTCTTAAAACAAGGAACATAAAACATGTTCAAATATCTCTGTAACTCTGAACTCTTCTTCCTGTTCTAGAACATTGAAGGATCTTGGGGGGTACATTGAGCCCACCTGGCTATATACAGAATAGTATTCTTACAGTAAGGCAACTTTCTTAATTCCTTAATCTGACATGTAACCAAACACACCCACATGTTCTGATAACTAGGATATGGAGATGGGGGTGGTGGTGGTGATGATGGCGGAGAGGAGCAGCATTCTGCCCATTGTTTCTTATTTTAATTTCCTTTTATATTTTTCTTTAACTATCTTTCTTTGCCTAGTTGAACTTGTCCATTCCCTTGTAGGAAAAAAATCCTAAGTCAGCGGCACAAGCATTTCATAAGTAATTGTCAGTTGCTGCACCTGCATCTTCTCTTTTGTATAAAGGGTATGGTCTTTTGAAAATCACCTTGAGGGGATTTTCTTGCTTGTCTCTCATCAAATTAAATGTAATAAACCAGGGTGGTAATAGTGCATCTAAATCTTTCAAGGGAAATGAAACAGAAATGCCTGTGGACCCTCTCTTCCACATGCACTTTTAGCGTGTGTTCCTGCCCAAAGTATTCCCTGAGAATACTTTGAGAAGGCTCCTACTCACTAGACCAGGAAAGGGGTGCATGAGGATGCAAAGCTTAATTAAATTCTGTAAGTAATCCAACCACATTCATGAAACTTCTAATAGTAAATAGTAATGGTATTTTACTTATGATTAAAATGTATATTTATTATTAGATGTGATTAGATGCCATGCCCTTTTTAAAATTTTTTATGTACTTATTTGAGAAGGAGAGAGAATGTACTTCAATTCTCAGATTCACTCCCCCGACCCCCTGCTCCCCCTGCCACTCCCCCCCACCCCCCACCCCTTGCCAAGCCTACAACAGCCAGAGCTGGGCCAAAACAAAGCTGGGAGCTGGAAACAAAATAACAAAATTCAGGTCTCCCATTTGGGGGCCAGGAACCCAGTTATTGAGCCATCACTGTTACCTCTGTTACCTGGTAACACTGGAAGGAAGCTAGGACCCAGGTACTCTGATGTGGGATATAAACATCTTAAGTGCTAGGCTAACTACCTTCCAGCCATGATTTTTAAAAAGGAGAATTTGGTATTAACAAATCTATTAAATAATTTGGGATAATCTGTTGAATTTAAAAATTAAACCTCTTTGCAACCACTTTTGCTAGGGCAATTATTTAATTTCCATATTAAAATAATATTTTATTCATTTATTGTTTTGTTTTTATATTTTTTAATATTTATTTATTTATTTGAAATCAAAGTTACACAGAGTGGAGAGGCAGAGAGAGAGAGAGAGAGAGACAGAGAGAGAGGTCTTCCATCTGATGGTTCACTCCTCAGTTGGCCACAATGGCCAGAGCTGTGCCGATCCAAAGGCAGGAGCCAGGAGCTTCTTCTGGGTCTCCCATGCGAGTGCAGGGGCTCAAGGACTTGGGCCATCTTCCACTGCTTTCCCAGGCCTTAGCAGAGAGCTGGACTGGAAGTGGAGCATCTGTGACTCAAACGGGTGCCCATATGGGATGCCTGCACTGCAGGCGGCCGCCCCACCCACCACACCACAGCAAAGGCCCCTATTGTTTTGCTTTTAAAGGCCTCTCTTCAGCTCAAAGAATAGGAAATCCAAGATAATTATCAGAACTATTTTTAATTCTATGAGAGAAGGAATACTATAAAAACATAGAACATAGATTCCAGGTGCCAATATCAAAAGTATGGAATTGGCACCAGGTTGGTTTTTTTTTTTTTCCTGTGAAAGCTTTGAGTCTTTGTCTATTGAAAGTAGATCCTACCCAGCTGCCCTTAGTGGCATCTTCTGCTTCCATG